CCAGTGCCTTCAGTACCCTCAGATGGAGCTCATCCGGGCCTGCCGACTTAAACGCATCCAGTTCCTTCAACTGACTCTGCACCATCTCAGGGTCTACGCATGGTAGTCTGGCGCCTTGCTGCTGCCTCTCAACAATCCCAGTGAGAGACTTGTCTTGCCCCTCACTTAGGAACACGGAGGCAAAGAACTCGTTGAGGACTTCAGCCTTGTCCCCCCTGTTCATCACCAATTGCTTCTGCCCATTTAGTAGAGGTCCTATTCCTCCCTGGGCCTTCCTTTTACTCCCTATATATCTAAAAAACAATTTTTTGTTATCCTTAACTTGGGATGCCATCCTCAGCTCCATGGTAGCTTTGGCCTGTCTAACCGCCTCCCTACGAGCGTGAGCAGAGGAGGTATACTCCTCTTTAGTAATCTCTCCCCATTTCCACTTTTTATATGCCCCCTTTTTTGCCCGTAGGCTGCTCTGGATTTCTCTAGTCAGCCAAGGAAGCCTCTTGGCCCCTTTCCCCCTTTTTCCCCTGCATCGGGATTGTCTCCCTCTGTGCCCAAAGGATCATTTCCTTAAGGCACAGCCACCCTTCCTGGGCTCCCATCTCTTCAAAACTCTTACTCTGCAATGCGTCCTTGACTAAACGTCTGAGTTCATTAAAATCAGCTTTCCTAAAGTCTAGCACTTTCACCCTACTAGTTACCTGACCCACTCAACGTCTTATGATGAATTCTATTATTTGGTGGTCACTGTCCCCCAGGTGACCACCGACCTGTAGGTCTCCTACCATGTCATCCCCCGTTGCCAATACCAGGTCCAGTAAGGCATTCCCCCTAGTGGGACCATGTGCCTCCTGTGTCAGGTGGGAGTGGTTCACATAACAGAAGACAAAATCTCACACTTCTCTCTATTTGACTATGTCAAAAACAAGCCCGGGGAAGGGAACTCAAGGGCAGGGACAACAGTAACTATTTTTTTGTGATTCTTTGACAGAAACAGACTAGATTGAGTTCACTGTATTGAGGAAATTCCATGAAAAACAGACTTGCCTAGTGTGACTTTGCTGACTTCTGATCATTAACTACATCTGACCCTCTTTATTGGTTAATATTTGACTGACCTATAAACAACACCTTCTTTTTGATAAAAGGATAAAGTAATGAATATAGAAAAAGCAACTAAATAGTCACTGCATCAGCAGGGCCCTGGCTTTCCACAAGTTGTTACAGAAATGTGTTCGCTATATATTAGAATGAACCCAGGCAATAAAGGACTTGCTTTGAAATACCTGAAATGTCTCCCCCCTGCACCATTATGTGCACCCTTTTGGCCACTAAACTGGACCTTATCTTACATGCTTTTGACTGACTTGAAATACTTCTGTCCCTATAGCTTCTGTTCTTTAAGGGCAAAGTATCACAGTACAGTCTTTTGGCTCAACCTTTTCCTATGGGACCAAAAGAGAAAGAAAAAGTTACAGGACACAAAAAATTGTCACTTCCCTCAACCTCCTCCTAGTATTTAATTTCCAGAAACTGAGGTACAGACTGAATCTCAAAATGCTCTTTACTGATTTTGCTGCAATGGTCAAAGAATCTGGCAGGAGCAGGGCAATAAGGAAGGAGAATTATTTCCACATACAGCTGCAATTATTTCCCTAATTCTTCTGCAGAGCTTTTATGCATGAAGGCTATTCATAAAGTGTGCCTACAGGGTGCAGCAACAGCACATGGGCACGTGGTGCAGGAGACATGAGGGTGCTTGCATGAGCATGCAGTGCAGGAAGGGGCTGTGGCTCACCATGGTGTGGCCTATGCAGTATGTGGTCCCTGGCTGCTTGGAAGTTAGATGGCCCTGTTTAAACTCTGCAAAAAGGAAGGCTGGCTCTTCATTTTTCTGCATAGTCTGAGAGAACGCTGGTGCTGTGGGAAGGCACAGGATAAAGCAGACAACATATGGCACAGGCAGCTTGTGTGTAGTATGTGGCCAACTGGGGAGGAGACAGACAGCACAACGACAGAGGCAGGAAGCAGAAAGCAGAGCAGCAGATCATGCAGGGAACACAGGGCAGCAAGCAGAAAGCAGAGCCATAGATTGGGAAGAGGATGGAGATCTAAGTAGCAGTTTGGAAACATGCAGAGCTCATTTGTGGCACACCTGCCAAAACGACTGGCCCCCACCACTAGATAGAGATCTGAATTCAGTTCCAGCTCTGTTCCAATTTTCTCATGCAACTTTGGGCAAGTCTTCCTATGCCTCAGTTTCCCTCCTCTACCAAGGGACTCATTTATCCTCCCTCCCATTCTGTGTCTGCCTTGTCAAATTAGACTGCAAGCTCTGAGGGCAGGGATCACCTCTTCCCGGGTATTTATAGAGCACATGGCACAGTGGAGCCCTGATCTCAGTCTTGATGCTACTGTAATTTTGTAAAAACAAAAAATGGAGTTTTCCCAGCAGATTTATAAACTCAGGATAAATGACAATGTAAAAGGCATTGCCAAAAAATTAAGAGGTTCAAAACAAACATTCAGAAACACCTATGACTTGTGAATGATCAGTTTGGAAACTACTCATTGCATCAGATTAGGCATCACAAAAGGCATGAATCAAGTTACAACTGCACCAGCTATTGTTCCCAAGGACTTGCTACACTTCAGGTACAATTTCTGTACCAAGGGTAACAGGTTTGCAAAAATAAATGTGCAAACCCCCCCAGGATGACACTAAATTCTGCAGACATTACGTGTAAAATCCCGAGGTGATGAATCCCAAGACTATGAAACTTCAGGCTCTAATGGGTTACACATGAAACTCATGAGATCTCATCCTTGCTTTGCTGCCGACCAAATTAAATAAGTCATTTTGGTTGAAAATTATCGGAAGCAGTCACTGATTCTGAAGGACCAACCCAAGACATTTCAGGGCAATTTTCTGACTAGCTAAGCACCCAAATAAGGCTGAGCCAGTGGAGCCTGCAAAGGCCCAAACCCCGCTTAGACCCAGGCCCCAAGGTCTTACAGCAGATTGGGGGTCACTTTCTACAACTTGATCTCTCAGGGTCCCAAGCTGTCAAACAGTGGTATCCCACATGAATTCTTCTTCTGATGAACCCCTACTTAGCGCTTTGTACAAAGTTTTTCTAGGACTAAGGGAAGGTCTTTAGGTCCTTTGCTCCACATGGAAGTTTAGCAACAACAGAAACAAGGGATAAGAGCAGAAAACACAATACACTACATTTGCATCTCTCCTCTATCTCCCTACCAAAATCTAGGAAGGGTTTAACAGCACCAAACAAATAGAGAAGGGACTTTAAAACCAAGCAGAGATTTCACCATAGTGCAAACATTTCAGTAAATGACTTATCTCAGCATGAAGATACTAACTGGGAGTCAGTCACAAGCCACTGGATTGGCATTCAGGTCATGGGTGCAATACAGAATGAAAGCAGGAAAAAAAAAGAAGAAATAGGAAGAAAACATTTTTAGAAAGCAGGATTGTTAATAAGCAAGATTAAAATGAAAAGTTTCAAAGCATTTCTAAAGACAGTTAAGAAACAGGTTTTTTTCTCCATGGAGTACTGTCTTGACACTTTTGGCCTTCCCCGCCTTGCACTTCTACAAGAAGCTGACAATCTATAGCACCATCCTAACTTCCTTTATTACAGGGCTGCTCACTGACTGGAAAAGCCACCCACACTGGCAGCTTGCTTTATTTATAGACATGGATCCTACCAGATGTCACCAAGATTATTATTTGGAGAGGTTATTACATGTATGATTTGGTCAGAACTAGAGACCCCCTACTGTGAGGCAATGGACAGGTATGTGATAGGTACTTGGGTCAGAGTCCATTCCACTTATTGGGCATCTTAGCAGACTTAGGCACTTAAGTACAATTCTGCTCCACCCTGCTCAAGTCCCTGAAAATCCATTAAAGCAGGGGTCAGCAAGGTTGTGCAGTGGGCAGCAGCTTTCACAGAGCTTAGCTCCGAGTGTGGGCCACACTCAACCTGGCCTGTACCTAGGGTGCTTCCAGCTTTTCAAAATGGAAAGGCGGGACACATGCCTGCCTGCCTCTCCCCAACCTGCAACACAGAAGAGCAGAGCCAAGTGGAGCCTGAGGGGGAGGACGTGGGCTACCCTCTGTGGGCTCAAGGCTCCCTGCCCTCCCCTGGGGAGCCCCGCGCCAGCTGTGCTGCTATGGTGAGGCACCTCCTATCTGCCCAGCAGCAGCAGGGGGCACAACTCCATGCCACTGCTGGGCCGCAGACAGGGGGCACCTCACCATGCAGGCACAGCTGGCGTGGGACTTGTGGCAGCAGCACCGAGCCTCTTCTCCTGGGGAGAGGGCAGCAGGGCAAGGAACCCTGAACCTGTACCCTTCCCCACCCTGCAAGCAAATCTGGGAGGGCACATGCCTCCCATGCCCCCTTCTTCTATGTACCACCCTGGCTGGGCAGCGTCCCCAGCCCCAGTAGCCCCAACCCCACTCCCTCCCTTGCTGTGGGGGCCTTTATCTGCCCCCTGCCCCCGACTCACCTGCAGGGAGCTGCTCTCCACTGCTGCCTGGCTATATTACCAGCGTCCTGCTCCCTCCAGTCCCAAGCAGCCCCTTGCAGGCTTGAACTCTGTCAATCTGCAATGGGAAACCCACCATTTCCCATGTTTTTCTGCTGTGAAAGCAAAACCCAGATCACTGCATGATACTGGGAACCTGGGACAAATGCCATCCTGGAGTCATTCAGCCCGGGACCGGGACCTGATGTTCGCATTTTGGGACTCTCCTGCCCAATGAGGGATGAGTGATCACCCTACCTGCCCCTTCAGAGCTAAGCCCAGAGCTGAAGCCACTGCTGCCCCCTCCTCCAACGCCACTGCTACTTCTCCCGGCGCGTGGGGGAAGCACGAGCATCTCCCCCATCGCTCTCCCCAGAGCGCATAAACCAGCTCCACGGGCTGGACCCGGTCCACAGGCCGCAAGTCACCAAACCCTGCATTAAAGCATCTACCTCTGGAGCACACCATCCTCTGAGGCTAAACACTCAAACAGGCCGGGACCATCGTTTCCACTCGCAGCCCGAATCATTTTGAATCGCTCCCGGCTCCGCTCACCAGGGGAACTTGGGCTCCCGACACCTCGGGCTCTCTCCAGAGGTCCCGTTTCGTCTAGGAGGCCGCAAGTCACCAAACCCTGCATTAAAGCATCTACCTCTGGAGCACACCATCCTCTGAGGCTAAACACTCAAACAGGCCGGGACCATCGTTTCCACTCGCAGCCCGAATCATTTTGAATCGCTCCCGGCTCCGCTCACCAGGGGAACTTGGGCTCCCGACACCTCGGGCTCTCTCCAGAGGTCCCGTTTCGTCTAGGAGGCGCAGACCTGCAGGGCTCGATGGCACTGTGACTCGGGT